GGAGGTTGCTAAGCACGAAAGAAGCGTAAGAGTCGCTCGAGGCGATAGCCGAGAGCGACTCTAGCTTCTTGAGTGCTTAGCAAACCTCCCAAGTGCATCCATAACTCAATAGTGTACGCTGTGGTGTTTACCATTTGTTTTATAACATAACATTGATACATTGTAGCTAAAGAGTTCCCTTTTATTTAACAAATCTTACGTGACCAGAAAAAAACAAGAGCGCGCGGAAAAATAGTCTTTGCATTTGCTCACGTCAGCAGCGTACACCCATGGGAAAACGAGGGACGCTAAATTGACCAATCAGAGTGCGCGCTTTACTTTGGTTATGTTATAATTGCCCTTCTCAGAAATCTCGCCACGCCTCTGACAATCAGCTACTGCCATCTCTGACCCAACGACTTGAAAAATCGTGATGTAAACTTTACTCTTTACAGATGTTAAGTTTATGTTTTTCCGTTTTATTCCTTACACCTTTTCTATACCTGTCTCCATGTGGGTAAATATTAACAGCAGTAGGTACGCTATAGGACTAATCAAACCAGTAACATAACAAGCGTCCTTAAACCCTCATTCAGTCACGTCTCGTTTCATCCTAAAATTCTATTTTCAATTTTTAATATAAATAACTTATCAACTCTTTTAGGGGCACATTCGACGCTCAATTCATTCATCATCAACTGTCCTTTTAGAGCCCTCTGGCGACATATAACGCCTCCTCAGTATTCCAACAATTACACCGATCCTGCTGACACAATTAGGGACATGGGCATACAGTCCTTCTAAGCTGATTGAGAGTCTCTGGCCCCCGTTTGCTTTTCCCATTTTATCATTATCCATTCTCAACTTCTGTCCAACCCAGTTTCCTTTCTTTTCAGCCAATTTAGGTCGTAAAACTTTTTTTTTATAAATGAACAATTTCAAAACTGATACTCTTTTTTTTTTGCGAGACTACGTGTTACATTGACGAAACTTTACAAATGCATCCAATTTGGAGCAAGAGTGTTTTTCTTCAAGATAAATCCTTACATTCGTTCGACATTTTAAAGAATGTAATATAGTTTATTCTTAATAAATCGTCCTCTCCTCACTGGTCCTATCTGTTATTTTCCGCCTCAGCAATATCGTTTTTTAAGTTTTCCTTCTGTTTTAATTAAAGGCTTTTCTCTGCATGTCAAAAACAACCCAAAGGATTATACGGGATAACTCCTTCGTAACAAAATTGTTCTCTTCTGGATATTTATCATCAATATTATGATTATAGCTATCCCTATTATTATCCTCATTGTAATTGTGTTCGACTCAAGGAGAACGCAAACTATTCGCGTCGCTTCTTTATGGATGCTGTACAATTTCGAGGTTTGGGCGCCATCTTGGTTTGGCTGACTATTCGCCTCGATTTCATGCAAGAGCTTCGAGTCCCGCATTATATTAGTCCACCTTCTCAGAAAATCCGCAAAATAAAAAAAAAATTTTCTAAAGCAGATAAAAAGAAATTTTAAGTCCATGATCAGCATTAGTTATTATTATCATCATTGTTATTATTATTTTAACTTTGTTTTATGGTTTGTAGAATTACAACATAATTTTGAAGAGTGGACCATCAAAAATATTGTGTCCGTTACGAAGCAAAAAAACCCTCAATTTTAACTCAACAAGTAGTAATTATTTTTTCCATCAGAAATACTTATTACGAGAACATTGCAGTGCTCCTATAAAAACCATTCCTGTTCTTAGTTTAGATCATATACCTTTAACCCCGAAAATCAATGTGAACATCCCCGTTTTTTAAATACTTGATCAGAATCAAGAATGATCAGAATCTTTTGCATGTTGAAAGGCCGGAGAATCAATGCTGTTGGTTGATAAGCTCAATCATTTCACGATAATTGAAATAGTGCAGTCGAAGGGCGCGTTCCTCAAAAGTTCCATGAAGTAAACGCGTCAGAATATCTAAAAACCAAATCTATGAAAACTTGGCGCGGTGTTTAGCTCTAAAACCATGCATTCCATTCTGTTTCACTTTCAAGTCATATTTTTAACGATTGAATTTCAAATTTATTATCTCGGACTTGAATGAAACACAGGAAACAAAAAAATTTCTTTTGAGACCAGTGACTAGCATCTTCGAGAAATGGTTGCCAAAACGGAGAGAAGTCTTGCATTTGCCACACGCACTAGCTCTAGTCTTACGCCAACTTATGCGCGGCCAGTTAGCTCCTCTGTAGGTCCGGATCAGATCGCTGATAAACGTTTCACGCGGGAGTTATACCAGGTTTTCAATTGTGTCGCCCGATTTTTTTTTAAACCAGAAATAACCAGTTTCCCGCTCTAATTAGAAGTAACAAGTACTTTTATCCCGTAGACACAACGGCTCGTTTAGGCGTTAAGGCGTTTCATTTGTCTTTTAGCGAGGGATATTTAAGTCTTTTCCTGTAACCAAAAAAAAAAACAATATCCTATCGCCACCACCAGACAGAGAGGTGTCATTTTTCTTTACGGCAGCTAAATTTCTGTGCTTGTATTTTTTACCTGAGTTCCATAATATCTTTTATTGGGAGCCCATCACTAACTTTTATCTAGATTTTGTGGCAGGTTAAATTAATTTTGCTGAATTACGCAACAAAATAATCCTCTCTCGATTAATGAGCTAGTTTCAGGTTACGAAGGTTAAATCGACGATGGAGATCGTTCTGAAAGCATGAAATCGTTTGTCGACGATCGACTTCCAGCTCCACAGACGAATAATTAACCATCAGACGTTAGCTCAGTTTTCAAAACTTGCTGCAGCGGCCTGGGTTCTATTTCTACCATTTGGGTGATGTGATCCCACCATTAAGTAGTGTAGGGTCTATCATGTCCCGAAACATGCCTGATTTATCAGTGAGCCTACCTACATTGCGATTAACTCGACAGTCTTTTAATTGCCTGCCAAAGAATTGCAAGAGTTAGACGACTTTTCTGTTGGATTTGCGCACGCTCTGATTTTCTGGCGATGATTCATACCCCACCCACTCCCTTAGGAGGTACTCGTCTCAATTCTTGATAGGGGGTCGGGCGTAAGAAGCTATGCTCGCGCTGAACGGTCTTCGATAAATCTTAATGGGTTGGAGAGGGGAGGGGGGCGATTGGACAAAGCTTCGAACAAAGTAAGCCGGTGATCATTCGCTTGATCCATTGGTCGCTTAAGCTTTCACGTAAGAACTTTTTTGTGACCATGAACTTTGGTATCCCCAGCCGCATGTTGATATCCCGAAGTCTTTAAACGAAGCGATCCAGATATTTGCCGCTGTGTGGCTATCCTAAACATTGAAACAAGAAGACTCAAAGCCTTCCTATCGTCTCTGTAATTTCACGACTTACTTCAAAGGCGAGAAAATTTCTGTCTTTGTATTAAATATTATTGCCCTTAAACTAATTAACATCAGACATTGGTGCGCCAACTAAAATTTTTGGTCAAATGATCTGTTATGTGCTATTTCGGTAAATACATAGGTCCACACGACTTTGTTTTTACGAAAAGAGTAGATAAATATCCATATTCCGTTTCCAAGACCATGTAACACGCTCGTATCGTACATTCGATATTGTGGCAGAATAGACATAACTCTGACTTCACCTCTAGCACTCATTGTCACGCGGGATGGATGCTTGGAGTCCGAATGTCTGGCACTTATTCTTCCTTGTTAATTTGAATTTCAAAAAAAGAATTCGCATTTGAACATACCGCCGATATGTGTTGGACGGCGCATTGTGTAAATAGATTGTGACTATGGCGTTTCAATCCAAAATTACCGTAAAAATGTACTGGTCATTAATCCTGGTTAAAGACCGTAACGGCGGGAGATAAGTGCTGATCGGCTTAGACGATTAATAAGTGATAATCAATAATGCCAGTGGCTGTCTTCGAGGATTTAGTAACTGAAAAACACCATTGATATCGAACAAAATAAAAGGATTGTTTCTGGAATCGGAAGTGAGTAAGCAATTTAGATGTTCGTTCGAATTTCCATTCTCCTTGAGACAAATAACATCCAACTTTTGCATTAAATCAGAAACAGCGAATCCCTTTCAGCAGAAAAGAACTTAAATATCCAAATGAATACAAACTAAGTTTGCCGCCGAGCCTGATTTTTCATATGGCTCATTTTCACTTAATATTTAGAGCTTCTTTACGGCACCTTTGCACATCTAGAACCACACCGACAAATTCTTTGTTTCATAGGAAAAGCTTTTGATAAAATTACCAGAACAAGCGGCAAATGACTCTGTTTATGACAGAAAATTCGGTTTGATCGATGAGGTATCAAACCAAACTGGGCGAAGGCAGACAACAAACACGTACAAGACTCCACTTTGCTTAATCTTTTAATTTGGTTTTCTTCCATTAAACTCCTCATTTCTGTTTACGAAAGCTATTAAAAACTTGAGTTTTTAACAAGAGCTTAGCGAAGATTAATTCGCTAACAGACATTCGAAATTTGTATCCTGGTAAATCTCTTTTCAACGGGAGGTTACTGAGTCGAGTTTCGATTAATTTTTGTTACATAATTTGTACAACTGTGTATTTGTAGAGTTAAAAGGGAATATCACTTTCTCGAGATAAGACAAGCCGCATTTAATAGCACGGTGTGCTGATACAAAATGTTCCGACTGTTAAGAAGATTTATATTTCCGCTCTTGGCATCTTCAAATTCCTTCAGAAAACGACGGCTTGTCGAAAATGATGAATTACTCGGAAAAACTCTCTCAACTCTTTGTGTATCTCGTTACATGCCATAAGTGAAATCTCGAGGCACTTCTAAGTAGTTTGATTGGTTCACGGTGAATCACGTGCTCAAAGATAATACATCTTTCTTTCTTTAGTTGTTGGAGTTCGGACAATAATGCGACTTTACCTATCGAGTCTTGTCAACAGCGGGGATCGATTTTAGTACAGAGGTCAAAAAACTCGTCAACTTTGTATTGTCTACTATCAAAAACAAATTCATCTTCTTCAAGACCCGTGTTTAAAAGCCTGGTGTGTAGACAGTGAACATGCAGAAGGCAAATACAGAGCGTTGCCAAGGAAAAAACCACCACGAGACGGAGTCCGATGAGACATCTTCTCCTAACTCGTGCAGCTCGTGCGAGCGCTTGGACGATGATGCCACTGAATTACCGTTACAAAATGCGTCCACGGAAAACGGCCTTCAAGAAATTTACCCTTGGATGAAGGAATTTCGCTCAAAAGGTACAAACGAACTTATAGCAGTTGTAAGTGATTTTTTTGTCCCAAACATGAACGATACCTTCGTATGTGGGCGGAGGTCAAAAACAACCCCTTCGTCGTAAAACTGAGTTCTGTTGTGATATTTCGAAAACTGCAGAAAACTCTTACGAATTATTAGGAATCGCATAAAATAAGTTTGGATGAAGAGCGTTTGTTTCGTGTTAAGTTCTTTAATTGTGGATTAGCGGGAAAGAATAGCGCCAAGAATGGACTCGCCAGTATGGCGCTTCTTCATTGTGAAGCAGTTTGCCTCGCCATTCGAAGGTGCGAACCGTACTATTTGTGATCCTTAACAAACAATTCCAGTTATTCTACCGGATGGATCTTGTATAAGAGAATTACTAGCATTGTTTTGTTATGCTAAAGCAATTTTCTGTGGTGTTTCGAAGCCTTGACACGTCGTTGGCGCCAGATGGAAAAAGACCAATCGATACGCCATGTTCAAATGTGTTGTAATCCCTTCCCGCTTGCTGTGCGGGGCAACAAATCTTGTTGTAAGTCTCCGATTTGTCGTAATTGACCACAAAACAGTCTCTTGTCAGATACTTTTGCCTTCCTTCCCCAGTATTGTGCTTTTCGAGATCTACTAATGCGACAATATTTTGAATTAGCGTTTTTTTCTCGAAGCATGCCCTATTGAATTCCGAGGGCATCAGATCATGTATTTTAATGAACGGTTTCCTCTAATTTGAAGGAAACCCCTGAAAAGTATGTCTTGTTGTTCAAAGAACGCTGGCTTTTATTCTATACAGTCCTTAAACAAAATCCTCTGCCCAAATCTGTACTTGAATTGATTTAGTGCCGTTGAATATTGCACCAGTAGTTTCTTCGACCTGTAACATTTCAAGTTAATGCCATTACCAAAAAGACAAAATGCTACGAAATAGGACAGTTAACGGTATTCTTTATTTCACCTTAAGGAGCTACTTGTACGCTTCGAATTCGGGTTTTCTACTGTAAAAAGCTGCAGTTCAGAGTTTAATATATGAAGACACTTTCTCAGCCAAAATTCCGGCGCATGGATTCTCTATTTCTTTATATCGACCACTGTGTCGTACGTCTCCACTTAGTTGTTAGTTTTGTGGGATAAGTCGGGTAAAAGGAAGTTGTTTGCATATGTCTACAACAATGTAGTGAATTAATTCTTTAATTAGAAGGTATTGAGCTTAAACTTACTGCACGGGCAAAAGAAGAATTAGCACCGAAAGAATTTAATTGCAAGTATTTCCGGAGTAGAACAATCTTTGTGATCTACACCTAAACAATGGTCGTGAAGCTCTAGTAAGAGCTATGCTATTAAATCAAGGTTTTGCTTGAAGAGATATTCATTGGAATCACTGAGTATATATTATGGAAAGGACAAGATGTATTTTGCGTATAGATAAACAAGATAGATGACACTATCACTGCGCTGTCCTTGTCGATTCTAGTTGATCAGTGTTAAAAGTATACTGCTTTGAGAGGTTATCATTTTTGTCTCAGTGTACGTACCCAGGCAGTCTAAACCTTTTTTTTTTATTCATTTGCATTCGTACTAATAAATATTCCTTTGTTTACAGGAGCGCCGCAAGAAAAAGCTGGTGATGATAAACTTAATCGAACTATATACAGCACAAGGCAGTTAGTCGAATTGGAAAAGGAATTCCATTACAACAGATACCTTTGCAGACCGCGTAGAATCGAAATTGCGCAGTCGCTCGGACTAACTGAAAAACAGGTCAAAATCTGGTTTCAGAACCGTAGAATGAAATGGAAAAAAGAGAACAAAAGTGTTGAGAAAGCCTTGGAAAATGAAATTCAACAAAGAGTGCGACAACTAAGCGCGCAAAATCCAAACGGTTTCGGCAGTTTATCACTGATGAACTTAAACTCACATCCTAACTCGTCGGTTTTCAACGAATCAAACTCTTTTCAGCGAAGCTACAATCCGTATTCTACTCCAATGCAAAACTACAATGGAGGAGGATTCATGGACAGACCAAGGGCGATATGGAGTCAAGGACCACTGCAACATTTTTAGTAATTATTAATTATCAGTGCAGCCGCCGTTAGATGCTGGCTTCCTGTTGTACATTTTTTCGACAACCTCGTGTGCGATACTTCGCCCAACGAGGAATAGAATTAACACTTTGAAATTGAGTTATAATTCTTCGATGTTATTTACAGTCGACAAAGTTATTTCATTCCTGTTAGAGACTCGTGGTTTTATTGTGAGCGATATTTATTCATTTTCCGTTGTGAAACGATGTCAGTTAAATTCGGGTTAGTTTGAAATCGAATGAAGATTTGAGTTAATGTTTTGTACACATTCCTTCCTCGACCTCTTGTAGCTAGTACCTCCCTCATTTATTGTCTTTCGCATACAATGCTAAAATAGAATGTGTATGATATCAGGTCTTTTCCTTTAAACTCTTTCTGTTCATATTTATGGCAAGAATATCACACGGTTGCAAATGCGATAAAATTAATTCCGGTTGTGAAGTAGTTTTTAACCCCCTGTGGGTTCCAGAAGTTGTCGCCTTCCCCATAAAAATGAATCGTAGCTAAGTAAGGGAACTTGTCAGTTGCAATGTTTGGGATACAAGCTCTGACAAGCTGATATGACTCGTACATTGGACAGTATATTTTGTCGTCTTCCATCACTCAAATATAGGTCAAGTTAGATGCCTTGCTTGTTGTCATTGCAATTAATTTGTTCCTGTTTGTGAAGTAAATGCCTACAATGATACATCAAATGCACAATTGATTTCGGCTGCCCCCTTAATAATTATTTTACATTCTTTCATTCTTGCATTTTATTGAACGCAACGTTACTAAACTAACGTGAAACTTTGGTTACTATGGCATCAATTATTAGTTTGAACTGGCAATTGCGTCTCATATCTATTTAATGAATGAATATTTTGAGGTTTTATGTTATGGTAATATATTTTAAAACCATAAGTTATTCAGGTTGTTGTTGTTAAATGCACGAAGTTGACAGAAAATGGACAATAAAAAATCAGGCGTTTTGCTCTAAATGTTTACGATATTTTTCTTGCACCTAAAGCAACTTTCACCAAAACATGTATACATTTACATGGAATTGAGAGGTCTAAATCAACTTAGAGCTTTCTCCGTGCTTCCTCTATAATTACATACAAAAGTGATTTGTTGCTAAGATTGTTTGTTATTATTCTTTTCTCTCTACTGTGCCACAATTTGAATTCTGTCATTCTTATTTTCCTAGTATGACGGTTGTTCGTATTGTTGTTGATATTGTTGTTTATGCATGATGTTCCATTACCCTGTGTCCCTCAGTTAGGCTTCAGTTTTAGTCCAAATTTCTTTCGCATACTTATATTTGTGTTGGACTAAAAACTAAGCCTGAAATGAAACTTGTAGCAGGTTAATGAGAGCTAAAGAATTAGAGACTGTTCTCAGAGAGAAGGTTAATCTAGCGTCGATTTATTTGACCACACCAAGACTTAAACGAGAATTCTTAGCGATGTCTGGACGAAGGTTTTTTTTTTCAGAAATGGTTTTCTTAACTTGAGTTTAGCTCTAATTTTCATAGGCTATTACTATTATGTATGAGTTCAAAAAAAAATTTCAGCAACCGGCGAAATAGTAAAAAACCCTCATTAATGTGACGTGGCTTCCGAACATCGTCAGAAGATCAACCGGCTTGCGGGATGATCATTCGACTGCATGCACGCGATCTGGGACTTGTCTCGTTAGCTGAATCATGGTAAACGAACTTATTTTGAAGCAGAGGTCAAAA